AAGAAGTTCTAATTGCTGTGTGATTTGGCGCAAACTCTTTTTTGTTGCAGCTTCAGGAGCCGTCATCCGAGATTCTAGATTTCGCAACTCTTCTCGTAAACTTTGGTCGTCCATAGTGCTTTGTTATGATACCAAATTGTTATGTTTCCGGATTAAAGATCGAGTCACTGGATGGTTAACAATAAAGTCGTTTTCTAGTAAAAGGTTAACATCCTTGTTCTTATTGCGAGAGCGATATATTTTGTGAAAATAAATTAAAACTCATCAAAGAGAGCTGTTATTTTGGATCTCGTTTAAGAGAGCTCCAATCTTGTAGTTTAAAATAATATTCTGATTTGTTTTTATTAATATCAAACATACTATTTTATATAGAGGTTACAATTTTTATTTAGAAATGTTAAGATAATTTGAAATCTAAATCTAATTAGAAATATTTTATTAAGATTTTGAAAATGCTACATTATTTAAGAATCAAGTATTAATGGAAAATATATATTATTTGGGATTACTCGTTAATGGTTGATTGAATTTGATGGATTCGCCCTTGAAAACAAGAAGTTCTGGTCCTGGGGGGATAATATCAACCACTTGACGTCCATCCGATGCATCCACTATGGTTATTTCATATCCCACATTAGGATTACTCGTTAATGGTTGATCGAGTTTGATGGATTCGCCCTCGGAAACAAGAAGTTCTGGTCCTGGGGGGATAATATCAACCACTTGATGTCCATCTGATGCATCCACTATGGTTATTTCGTATCCCCCCTTTTCTTTTCGCAAAATTTTGCTTACTATACCCGCTGCTGTAGCATTATAAACTGTATTGTTACTTTTTCTCCCGTCAGGATAAATCTGACCTCTTCCCCTGTTTCTTAAGATTTTGGAAATTTTACACTATTTAGGAATCAAGTATTAATGGAAAATATATATTATTTGAGAATTTAATACTAATTAGAATTTCAACTAATTAAGAATTTAATACTAAATAGAATTCTAATTATTTAAGAATTTAATATTAATTAGTATTTAATTAAACGTCAATTTTCTATTCTTGCTGTACTTTCTATATTTGTATCCATAACACAATCAGAGTCATGGAAAGGCCTGGTTGAAGAGTTTTCTTATAATTTATGTAGAAGAGTTTATTTGATCAGAGTAAACTCTCTCTCTCTCTCTCTCTATATATATATATTCATATAATTTTATGTGCTATTGGCTGTAATGAGTACCAGGCTAGGAGCCTAGGACAATTTTCCAGTTGGGCTGCTTTGTTTGCGTTCTGTTAAATTGGCAATATAGTCTAAGTCTAATATTCTGGTAAAGGATGGTAAAAGTAGGTTGCAGTGGATGTAATGTAGGACAGACTAACAAGAAAGTGAATAGAGAAAGGGGCCAAGATTAAGGAAGAACAAGAATAACAGAGAAAAAATACTGTGTAAGGGAAGCAAACAAGAGAAGAAAGAGACTGAAATGGCAGAAGAAAGTTCTGAAAGACTATATTAGAAAATAATAAATCCAAAATAGCTTAACATATGAGCTAGCTGATACCTTTATATAGGTGCTAATTTATGGTAAAATCTAGGAAAGTATAACAATAAATCAAAATGTTAAACAATCATAATAATTATAAGAACTCTTACTATTACTAAAAAATATTTTGCTTTAACTTGTCATCATTCTGCATTGGGCCCTTGAAAAACCAATAGTATTATTTGTATGTCTGAATATAAGACTTAATCAATGTGTCTAAAAGTGAAAAATTCGGCCACATGCCCTTTGTTAAAGTTGAACTTAGCCTGACACAGTTGCTTTCTTTGCACTGACTGTGCTTCTGTTTCCTAGAAAAATTAGTACTTGACCCTTAGACATTGTCGTTGTACATCATAACATTGTGGATGGAGGTTAACATTTTTCTTTTTCCTCTTATCCATTTTCTGAGAAAAAAAAAGAAAACTGTAATGATTGTCTCCCTCCTTCAGTATCATATAAGCATGATCAGAGAATGCCATTACATTTATGTCAGGGTTTGTGCTAGTTGCAATATGGAGATCGGCCCGGATGATTTCTGGATTGCCTAAATGCATTCTGGCATCCATAATGTTTCTGTTGTCACGCCTACAATCTACCAATTTCTGATGATGAGCTGCAGTTTGCTCCTGATAAAACTCCCATTTTTTTTTTCTAACTATAACGTTGATAGATATTTGGGTCTCTTTTTTCCAACTGAGTTATATTTGTTATTTCTTCTCCGGTTCTCCATGTCCAGGAATTACTGTTTTAACAAATTTTGCTACAAGGAGCGGTTCCGTCCCAAATGTGATATTTGCAGGCACTTCGTAAGTTTCTTCCAGGAATAAAACTCAGTTATTGATTTTTGCTTTGCATAATGTTTACATCTTTTTTAAATTTAGATATTGGATGCAAGTTAGGATGTCTAGTTTCCTTCGTACCTTGAAACTACAATGTCGATGAGGATCTCTTGTCCCAAATAGTCAGTGCATATTTAATATTTTCCTTTCCTGATTAGTAGGTTCAGTGTCAAGTACTGAAAAAATGTGGATTCATGCTTCATGCAAATTGGTTTAAATGTTGAATTAGGTTAGGGCACATATTATGAAGTAGACGTTATTTTATTTACCATCATCATTGTTTACTTTATATTGGATGGTCATGAAATTTTAATGTCATAGGTATAGTACTGAAGGTATTTATGGCATTCATCCATGAGATGAGATCTCAGTAAACACGTAAAGAAAAGTTGCGGTTTTGTCTAAAATTTTTTTCATTTTTTTTGGATTAGGCTTTGGAAATGTTAATATGGAGGCAAACCAGTAACTTTGTCTGTCTTCTGTTGTCAGATATATTACTTATCCTTAGTTGTTGTCCTTGGAATATAATCTTTTCATAGATTCTGATGATCCCTGCTGGTCATATTGAATATAAGGAACATCCATTTTGCATTCAGAAGCATTTCCCGTCTCATGAAAATAATGGTACTCCACAATGTTGTGGCTGTGAAGGAGTGGATATTAGTTTGAGTGAATATATCCATCTTTAGGAGCACTTATTTATTATGAAAGGAAACGTCGTCTATGCTTTCGAAGGGAAATCTGAGTGAACTTTTTGTGGCGAAAAGCTTATGGCATGTACATTGTTTCATAATGTGCATCATGGAGATTTGCTTAGATATGTTGGCCTTAGTGATGGACGAAACCTTT